AGGATGGGTAAGAATGTGTAAGGATGGGTAAGGTTGGGTAAGAATGTGTAAGGATGGGAGAGGATGGGTTAGAATGTGTAAGGATGGGAGAGGATGGGCAAGAAGTGTTTAAGGATGGGAGAGGATGTGTAAGGATGGGAGAGGATGTGTAAGAATGTGTAAGGATTGGAGAGGGTGGGTAAGAATGTGTGAGGATGGGAGAGGATGGGTAAGAGTGTGTAAGGATGGAAGAGGATGTGTAAGGATAGGTAAGAATGTGTAAGGATGGGAGCGGATGTTTAAGGGTCGGAGAGGGTGGGTTAGAATGTGTAAGGATGGGTAAGAATGTGTAAGGATGGGACAGGATGGGTAAGAATGTGTAAGGATGGGTAAGAATGTGTGAGGATGGTAGAGGATGGGTTAGAATGTGTAAGGATGGGAGAGGATGTGTAAGAATGTGTAAGGATTGGAGAGGGTGGGTAAGAATGTGTAAGGATGGGAGAGGATGGGAGAGGATGGGTAAGAATGTGTAAGGATGGGAAAGGATGGGTAAGAATGTGTAAGGATGGGTAAGAATGTGTGAGGATGGAAGAGGATGGGTAAGAATGTGTAAGGATGGAAGAGGATGGGTAAGGATGGGTAAGAATGTGTAAGGATGGGTAAGGTTGGGTAAGAATGTGTAAGGATGGGAGAGGATGGGTTAGAATGTGTAAGGATGGGAGAGGATGGGCAAGAATGTTTAAGGATGGGAGAGGATGTGTAAGGATGGGAGAGGATGTGTAAGAATGTGTAAGGATTGGAGAGGGTGGGTAAGAATGTGTAAGGATGGGAGAGGATGGGTAAGAATGTGTAAGGATGGGAGAGGATGTGTAAGGATGGGAGAGGATGGGTAAGGATTGGGGAGGATTGGTTAGGATGTGTAAGGATGGGAGAGGATGTGTAAGAATATGTAAGGATGGGTAAGAATGTGTAAGGATGGGAGAGGATGGGTAAGAATGTGTAAGGATGGGAGAGGATGTGTAAGAATGTGTAAGGATGGGTAAGAATGTGTAAGGATGGGAGAGGATGGGAGAGAATGTGTAAGAATGGGAGAGGATGGGTAAGGATGGGAGAGGATGGGTAAGAATGTGTAAGGATGGGAGAGGATGTGTAAGAATGTGTAAGGATGGGTTAGAATGTGTAAGGATGGGAGAGGATGGGCAAGAATGTTTAAGGATGGGAGAGGATGTGTAAGGATGGGAGAGGATGTGTAAGAATGGTGTAAGGATGGGAGAGGATGGGTTAGAATGTGTAAGGATGGGAGAGGATGGGCAAGAATGTGTAAGGATGGGAAAGAATGTGTGAGGATGGAAGAGGATGGGTAAGGATGGGTAAGAATGTGTAAGGATGGGTAAGGTTGGGTAAGAATGTGTAAGGATGGGAGAGGATGGGTTAGAATGTGTAAGGATGGGAGAGGATGGGCAAGAATGTTTAAGGATGGGAGAGGATGTGTAAGGATGGGAGAGGATGTGTAAGAATGTGTAAGGATGGGAGAGGGTGGGTAAGAATGTGTAAGGATGGGAGAGGATGGGAGAGAATGTGTAAGAATGGGAGAGGATGGGTAAGGATGGGAGAGGATGGGTAAGAATGTGTAAGGATGGGAGAGGATGTGTAAGGATGGGAGAGGATGTGTAAGGATGGGAGAGGATGGGAGAGGATGGCTAAGGATGTGTAAGGATTGGGGAGGATTGGTTAGGATGTGTGAGGATGTGTAAGGATAGAGGAGGATGGGAGAGGATGTGTAAGGATAGGGAAGGATTAGTGGGAATATGTGAGGATGTGCAAGAATAGTTAGGGGTGCATACGTGTGGGACCGCTGTGTAATGTCTTACATGTGAACGCCCTCATTTGCATACTCGGGACAACTTAAATGAAGCCGTTACCAACATTTCGGGTCAGGAAATATAGAAGTAAGGTCGTAAATGTGCGAAAAACGAATCGTTGCGTGAGTATACATCGTTGAGAGGTTGTCAACAAGTTTGACCTATTCAAGAGTGATTGTGGAAGTTATCGAAGTGATTTGAATCGTATTTTAGCGGGGATTCTTCAGCCCTGGAACAAGATGAGTAGTTGGAAAATCCAGAGAAAGTTACATCATGTATACCTTTACAGTGCAACATCCCGCAGATTGTTGTCATCTACTTGTAAGTGTGGCAAGTCACTGCAACAAACATCAGTAAAACTGCTTTCAACAGAGAGCCTTGCAACAGCTATTCATCCATCCAGGACAGAGGAAAATGACTCCAACCCTAAAGCTATTAGCCTGGGTGATGTGTATGCTAATAATACTGTTGAAGAGAGAAGAGAATTCAAGCACAGCAGAACACCATCACAACTCATATTGGACCACTTTGACAGACGATATGGGCAACAGTTTGGCTCAGACTGGGGTGACATCAGGGCTGCACTCATGGCTCCCAAACTAAATGGCCTTCTTCTCAACAACTTTGCTCAGGTGTCAACAAAGGTAGCAACTATTCTACAAGAACATGGATTGCAGAAGGTATCTGATTTATGTGATATATCATCCCATTTGAACTGGTGGGAAGAAGGAGAAACCATTGGAATACAGAATTATCACAAGGGTACAGAATCAAGTCTAAAGTTTTACATACACCCAGAGAACAGACATGTTTGGTTCCCTAAGCTTAAGCACGTGCCTGGGCAGCTGAAGTCGTACTTTCTCCAGGGGGCTTCCTCTCTGCTGCCTGTGCTGGCCTTGGATGTACAGCAGGATGACAGCGTGTTGGACATGTGTGCTGCTCCTGGGGGCAAGTCTTTGGCCTTGTTGCAGGCAGCAGAATTAGGTAATAGTTATTTGTTGAATAGTTACTGATATTCACAGCACCATCGTCCATGCAGGTCTATGTTGAGGAATCGAATGGACAGTTAAGTGAGTTCTGTTCTAATGTGCTATTCCTAGTTCTGTGTTTTATGCACTGTGTGTCATTCGTCCGTCAGGTTGACGAGGACCGCTTTGTCATCCCTCCGTAGTAGGGTGTGTCCTCAGGTGACTGTAGAGTCACTGTGTACTAGTACTAGTAGTAGGGACTTCTGATTCATACTTGTTGCACACAACAGTATCTGTCAATCACATTTTAACATTACTAACCTGACAACATCTACACCACTGCAGGACTCCTGACCAGTAATGAGCCTGACCTGTGGAGGAGACGTAGGCTGGCTGAGACACTGCAGTCTTACATCCCACAGGAGATACTGCAGACCAGAGTGGATGTGTCCAAACTCAATGGTGTCCACTTTCAGGATGTGACTCCAAACACATTTGACAAGGTCCTCTGTGCTCCCTCTACCTATCTTTGTGATTTCAGCAGAATGCATTAGACTGCACACATCTCAAGGCTATTACTTTTGTGGAATGTGTACTATGCAAAACAACACCAATCATTCCACAGACAGCATAATACATTGTACACATGTACGAATCATTTTGTTTGGCATCTTTGCCCTGCTTATATTGCACAGATGTTTTCATAGCTGTATAACCCAATGTTTGTTACAGGTCTTAGTGGATGCCCCCTGCTCCAATGACAGGAGCTGGCTGTACAGCAAGAACAGTGTTGGTATGAAAATGAGAATAGAAGACAGAAGACACCTGCCACAACTCCAGGCTTCACTTCTGAGGTTTGCATTCTTGTCTTCTTCGTGCCACTTTCTTTTTGTATAAGAGTTGTTTGTTCCCTTTAACAATCAACAATATATCTAATCTCTCTTTTGACCCTCACACAGTACTATGGGTACTTTTTCAGTAATATTTCAGATGCCTTAATGCCATACAGTGTAATCTTAACTGTTGTCAGAATGCAAATATGAAAATGTAAAGTCTATGATGTTTTCCTCCAGATCAGCCCTGCATGCAGTGAAGCCAGGTGGCACAGTGGTGTATGCGACCTGCACACTGTCACAGAAGGAAAATGATGATGTTGTGGAGTTTTGTCTCAGGCAGAACAAGTCAAGAATAGATGTCATCAACTTGAATAACTTCAGTAAAAACTTCCAGAAGATTTTCAGATTTGACTCTTCAACAAGATATGGACAGCTTGTATTGCCCCATGTTAACGCCAACTGGGGCCCAATGTACCTCGCAAAACTGAAGAAAATAGACACATAAAACCAATGACAAAAGTAAAGTGATCCTTCATTTCTGCCATCTTTTTTATGTGTTTTTATGTGTTGCCACACAAATAAAGAGTGTTCAGCACCAAGGGCAGGTCTATCTTCCAGTGTTTGGTACAGGGACAAGATACTAGTAGGTCTTTGCCTTTGTTGTGTGGTTGGTATTCAGTACCAAGGACAGGTGTGTTTGCCTGTGTGTGGATGGTGTTCAGCACCAAGGACAGGTGTGTTTGCCTGTGTGTGGATGGTTTTCAGCACCAAGGACAGGTATGTTTGCCTGTTTGTGGATGTTGTTCAGCACCAAGGACAGGTGTGTTTGCCTGTGTGTGGATGGTGTTCAGTGCCAGAACAGGTTTGTTTACTTGCACATACATGTAGAAGGTGTTTGATGGTATTGGATATGGTATGGAAAACCAATTGTATAATGTGTATAGCCTTCCATAGTTGTCAATTGAAAATTCAAACAATGATTAAACAACTTGAACATTTTAATAATAATATGCTGATGGCAACATTACATGCATGTATAAAAGTTGGTATGGAATGATAACCTTCATCGTACATTCAACAACATGGGAGACCTTGCACTTACAACATACAAATGCTGATTTGCACCAGGAGATTTACTTTCCCATTTTACAGGTACTGTATTAGAAAGCGGAACAGAGATATACAATGAGATATTTGACTGTAACATGTTTGCTTCATAACATGCAAAATGCCCCAAAGGAAAGGCAGGTAAAAAATCAATAAACATAAATGTCATAAAAGTTTTACACTATGATAAGATTTAAAATACTGCGCAAGATTTCAAACTTCTCTTCCATACATGACATGCTTGCATAATTTGTGCTTTAGGGTCCATATCATCTACTCTTGGTCAAGTCATCAGTCACACTTTGCTTTGCAACAATTGTCTACAACATTTTAATGGAAATGACATGATTGTTCACAGAAATGGTATTCTGTAGGGCCACATTTTCAGAGATGTATTAAGCAAATTTTTGTGCTAGTTGTTTGGTAGTCCAGTTAAGATATAATACCAATATAATACCAGTAGTTCAATCTATATTTCTCTGGCAGTGAAACTTTTTATACAGTTGTTCTACACATGATTAAGTGTCCTTGAAGTCATGCCTGTACTTTGCGTGTCCTGTGTAACCAACCCTGTGTGCGTGTATCAGGCACTGGATAACCCACTCTGTGGACACCACATTGACTCCCAGCTGTCCTGCCCTCTGTACAAGGGACCCTGGACACGAGGGGTCACTGACCACAAGATCACAGTCCAGGGGGGCACCTGGAGGGGACAAGGACCAGTTGGAGTTATCTTCTGTCTCAAATACACAGACATTAATCGTCAAGGTAAGATTGACAAAAAAATCAAAATACATCTACAATTCTACAGTAACTCATTTTCCTTCTTGGATTCTGATTGAATCTTTTAATCACACAAAAATTTAGATACTTTTCCAGTTATAATCAAGTTACAAGAAAGTTTATTGAAGTTCACTCACTTTCTGCCTCCTCCTTTGACACCTTCTTAGCCATTACACATCCAGCTGCTACCAGAATGTCAGCCCACACGTCTCTGAAGTCTCTGCTTTCAGACACAACAAGTGCACCCATGTTCTGGAAAATTCGACCTCGTGGTTGCCTATAGAGGGAGGGAAATCATCATCAAGTCTTTCTTCTGGTCAACTCACCTGTTCCCAAGACTAGTTATGGAATATCTTCTCCACTCTCCACAAATAAGGGCACCATACCCCAGGATAAAATAACCTTTAGCAGCTATCTGTGTCTAAAAGGCTGTATTTGTACCTAACTCAGATGTCCACAGTTAAAATTCACCACAAAATGCACAACTTCTGTCTGGAAACCTTCCTACCATTCTACAGTCCTCCTGGTCTCCAGACTCCTCCCAGCTGGCAGCAGGTAAGCCTTGTAGTCCTGTAGACACCCCTGTAGGAGGTACCAACACTTAACACGGTGGATGTCATCAGGTCTTACCCTTATTTTCCTTCCCTTTATACATATCAAATTTGGCAAGTTTTGAGCCACAAAAAGCCCCTTTCAAGCCTCAGCATATAGTTGTGCTTTTACTTGAAAACTTTTATATTTGAAGTGTGGAAAGCAATTTAAAAATCAAACTATTTTAGTTTCTAGCAACATTATTACATTAGCAGCACAAACAAAAAGGAAAACGCTTTGTATTTGATCAGCAGCTACGAGGTCTAACAAATATGACAGCTGCACATTTTCATCAAGTTTTTGCTTTAGACTGCAGGTTGAGTATCAGGAAGAGTCCACCCTGTACCTGACTACAGCTGTCCCTGATCCACTGGTGGGACACACACGGGATGCCGTGTGCCAGGGACAGGAAGTACTTCTTGGTGCGGCAGAAGCTGTCAGCAATCAGGTAGAGATGGGTGGATTTGGACCTTTCCTGCATCCTCTTGAAGTCCTCGTAAACCTTCCCTCCACCCTGCTCAATCTGGAGCTGGACATGGCTCTTACTGTAGGGAAGGGTGCTCATTTCTGTAAGCAAAACACATCTCTGTTAGAGTCCATGTATCATTGATATGTAATTGTTATCTGACATAAAACACAGCACTGCAACAGTGTACTATCTTTTCCTGATATTCTCATTACACTCTTATAAACAGGAAACTGTTATATAACATAGGTACTGATATCTGCCTGCAAAGGGCAATATTTCAGACGAATATTGCCTTGTCTTTCCAACATGTTCCTTATTGAAAGAATCTGTGAGGTGACATTACACCACTGCTACTAGTGGAAGCACAGGACATCCTCATGCAGGCTCCCTCATGACAGCCTACCTTCTTCACTGTCCTCACTGGACTGAGACTCTGCAGCAGCTGAGGCCTTCTCTGCCTTGTCTTTAGGTGCAGCCGTCAGGATGAAGGCACAGCCCCTGAACAGTCTTCTGTTGGTAGGGAGGGGGCCCAGTTGCTCTGTATACAGTACATGTATAAATTATGTAATTTCAACCATTACAAACCAGTGGGGATACCAAGAAATGGGCAATCTCTATTCACTACTGATTTACAACAGACATTTACCATGATCAACACCATTAAATTCATGCAATCAATAATGGGTGATAGAAAAGACTGCACAGTATTTATTCTTTTTCTTGGTATATACATGTACTACAAACAGTAACTGTCCTGTCAGTGGACAATGTCTATGAAGTATTCTAGTCAAATGAAAGCAAACGTGGGTCTGTCCCACCTTGATCGTCCTGGCTGCGCAGGGAGCGACGGGCAGACTGGGGCTGGGGACTGTCCATTATACCTGCTGGTAGGGTGGGAACACCTGGGGGGAAAACAGCTGTCATTACACCATATATATTACTCTGGAGTAGGTCAAGACGTGTTTATATTCTTTTTGCTTAATAATCAATATTACTGGTACATTAAGTACTTACGATCACAAGTTGGGAGACTTAGAATAGTAAGAATAGTATGATGTGAGCCTGACTAACCTCTGACAGGAGAAGAAGTTGAAGGTTTGGGTGCCTGTCCTGTCCCCCGGTCCATCTCCTCAGCCTCTTCCATCCGCCTTCTTCTCTTAGCCTGTGGGCCCCTCGGAGTTGTTATGCTACTGCTTGTGCCTCCAGAGCTGTACTCAGTTTCCCTGATTGCTCTTCCTATAAAAATCAGAATGATTGCTAAGTATAACCATACATGTATTTGGTACATGGAAGGGGTCACTGTCGGTGTCATTACTGGGGACATTAGAATACCAGTAGTCAATGCTTGAAAACATTAAAATGTTTTGTTTGCTGTAATCTGCTTTACCTCTGTCTGGAGTTTTGTATTCCTTAGCAGTCCCAGGTCTCTTCCTCTTTCCAGTGACAAGATTGTCTGAAAAACAAGGTTAAAAACAAAACAGTTCAGATGGAATAAATGAAAGCTACAACTATCAAGATCTACAATAGAATCTGGAATACTTTATCATGGTTATTGTCAGTGATAGGACAATCCATTAAGTAGTCATTGATTGGTAACAATACAGGGGGACAACAGGGGACAGAAGGTTTGCTCACCCAAAGAAACAGAAGCAGACACTTCAGAAACTCTCATGATTTGAGCCCGGTATGCTGCAGCCTGTTCTGGGTTCAGGATTACATTGGCATGGGGTGCTCTGTGGGGAGACAATGGTACAGTCACTGTTACTCTTACTCTACACTTAACTACCGGCGGCTGTAGTTAGAACAACAAATCCATTTAACATTATACACTGTCTGGAAACTAGTAAGTCTTTTTGCACCAAGTAACTTCTATGGCAAACTGTACATCTTGTAGGAAATGATGGACCCAACTGATGGTCTGTCATTAACTTTTGTTGCTTTTTTTTCAGCTCTCACCTGACAGTGGATCCATCATTGAATTCCACCAGATAGTCTTCTGCCCCCGTCTCTCCACTGTGATGGTAACCTCGAACAATCCCTGGAAAATTAAACAAGTGAAAAATCTCAAGTATTGAAGTCAAAGTATTGTATTAAAATTATTTATATCAAGCATTATATTTTACCTTCAATCCTTTTTCAGCATCATCATGTACTGAAAAGCATTCTTCCTCTGAATTGAGTCACCACAATCAAAGAGCATTTAACACCTTAATGTTTACATGTAGTTCCTATGACAGAGGTTCAGAGTAACATGTCCCACCTGGTGCGTAGACACAGTCCTGCACATCCTCTACACCAGCCAGGACAGCCGTGTTGACAGGCAGGCGGGACACCACCATCAAGTTCCTGGCTGCGATTTCCCTCGGACGGACAGTAGTCTCATCCTCATCCTCAAACCTGACCAGGTACCTTCAGAAAACAATAGGGGGAAGGATTAATTCTTATATTCAATCTAATACAGGTTTAAGTACAAATTTCTGGTATGGAAAAAGAATACCACTTTACTACTAGTATGCACTGTACCAAGTTTCTGCGAGAATCTCTTACCTGTCGTTTTTCAGTGTCTTGAGGATGACACCAGGGTACCAGTGCTTGTCACTCACAAGCAAGGCCATCACACGAGCCCCTTCTCTCGGCTCTGAGCCTCCACTGTCTGAGGACTCTAGAAACAAGTGAGACATGTGACATACAATTAATACAGCAGTTCTCCTTTATATTACTTGTCTAACATCCTAAACACGCAGCAAAGAGTGTCACCGCTGAAGGAAATGAGAAGTAACAAACATTGTATCATATGATCTGGTTTTAGATAATGGGTTCAATAATGATTTTCTTCCAGGCATAAAACAGTCTGACATGACCACTCACCTCTAGTTACTTCTTCTTGTGGTTTGTCATTCCTTCCAGACAGCCTCTGTTGCACCCCTTGAAAGGGAATTTCTGGAGATCCTGCTCTCTCCTCAGAACTTTCACTGCTCTGATCTTCACTCTCTTGTCCCCTAGAAGACCTAGATGACCTTGCTGCTGAGCTACTTCTGCTTTCCTTGCGACCTCGAGGTGTTTTAGCAGTCCTGTCTGCAGACCTTCTCCCAGCAGATGATCCCCCTCTCTTCCCTCTGCCTCGAGGACTGCCCCTTGTCCTTCCTCTGGGTCTCCGCCCCCGTGGACTCTTCTCAGATGTTTGTGCAGCTGGTCCTGCTTCTGCCAGGTCCTCTTCTGCAGTTCTGCCACTGTCCTCTCCAGAGGGGCCAACTAGTCTAGTCCTGCTATGTCTGCCTGTGTCTTCTTCTGTACTGTCAGATCCCTTCTGTATAGCTGTCGTTGATGCTCTCCTAGAAGAGTTTGTTTCCCTCTCAAGTTCTTCTGAGCTCACTGTTTCTTCTGCTTGTCTCACACGGCTGCTTTTTCTTCTCCTAGACTGTTGTTCTCTCTCCCCTTTCTCCTCTCCTTCCGGTCTTCTCTTTTCAGCCTTGTCCTCTGCACCTTTGCCTGCACTGCTGCTAGCAGCATCCGTCTGTGTTCCAGCTTCACTGACCTCCCACCTTTGACTGCCGCTTGTCACCTTTGACTGTTGACCCAAGAGCTGGCTGCCTATCCCTGACCTCCGTCTCCTGGGTGACCCCACAGGTTTGGTGAAGCCCTCCTGGTCCTTACCCCCTCCGTGGGAGGTGTCCCCCCTCTGATCCCCACCTGCGCTGGGGGAGGAACTGGAGGACTTGGACTGGCTGGAGGATGTTCTCTCCAGACTGGCCACACTAGGACCCGAGCTACAGAACACCAAAAGATAGAATCTCATGACTAACTGTTTCAATACTTGTGCAAAGTTACTTTAAAGCAGCGCTGTATTTTTTCTGCTATGAACTTTTGTCTGTAAGCAGCAAAACCATTCTAATACTTTTGTCCTTCAAATTGTCATTAACTATACACACGTTCAGTAGCAAATGGTTCTAAATTCATTTGAAATACTGGCAATATAGGTTTAAAGTCAGCTACATGTAATTCACTCAAAGCAACCAACATGTACAGACCTGCTAGTCCTACTCAAGCTTGATGAGCTGAGGCTTTTAGACAAGCTTGAGGGAGATGATTTTGAAGCTGATGTAGAGAGAGAGCTGATGTCTGCGAGTTCCCCTGACATGAGTGAGCTGCCAGTCCGGGATATACTTGGTGAGATGGACACTTCCTCCTCTATGTCTACCACTGGGTCCTCTGTCTCCTACAGAAACAGAAACAGATTTAGAGAGCTACAGAACAATTAGTACGTTTTGGTACATGTACGTTAATAGACTACGCATATTTAGAAATGTAACACAAAATCTAAAGCTCACCTCTATCACTTGGTAGTCCACAATTTTCTGTCCACGTTTGATTTTCTCTGTGATAACTCTCTTGACAATTGTTTCTGTGATGGTGGTGATGGTTGTCTCACGAACATACTGTGGTGGGCTCTATGGAGGAAAGAGTACAGGCACACTGATTTTTAAACAAAAGATACATCACGCATGCATTGCAAAAAATGCAACTACCCTGGTGTACTCTAACTGAAACTTGTACCAGATTTTATAGAAACTTTTTGTCGCTCACCTCTTCTTCCCCTCCAGCAGATTCTGTGTCGTTTTCCTCGTCGATTTTCACCTTTTTCCGAGGCGGTTGGCCGTCTTCCCCATCTCCATCTCCTGCCATCCTCTTCCCATCTCCTCTTCCCTCCTCCTTTTCCTCACCCCCATCCCCACCAGTGGGCTGTCCCTGCTCTGTGCTGATGCCCTGGGCACTTGGGGTTGAACCACGTCCTGATGGGGAGGTTCCCCCACCATGTGCCCCAAGTGTTGCAGATTTGGGCTGAACTTCTTTCCTCTTTTTCGAGGTTTTTCTTGTAGGTGATGGTTGGGTATTTGCCTGAAAATGAGATAACAGCAATCAAATAATTATCACAATTGTTCTTCATATCTTTGGTGGCAAGAGTCACTTTATTGCCAAAATGTAGCCTAGAATTATCTTACACAGTATTGAATACCCCATAGAGCCAAATCTAATATTATAATGTGCCAAGATAATTTTTCCCATGTATAACAGCCACAGGTTTGACCTACCTGTATTCCCACTACCCTGGTTGTTGAAGCTGACTGTGTAGAGGGGCCCTTCCATGTGGGGATAGAAGCTGGTGGACTTCCCAACCCTGCTGCCACCACCTGCCTCCTCTTTCTCCTGTCCTGAATGGGGCTCACCTACAGGGATTCAATCCATTAAGTCTATCTTGCAGAAATATCTGACTGTGATTTAAAAAAACCTGTTTCAGTCTTCCAGATATGTCTGCTACTAGTTCAGAATCGAGGGAGAGAACTTTATCCAGGAATCTATGGTATAGATGCCGATGATATAACCTCCCTTTGACGTAATAAACCTGATCCAGCTTCAAGTTCCTAAGTTTGCCCTACTGGCAATACTACAGAAAAAAGTTGTCGTTTCTGATCCGACAGCTTTTCCCTGAATAGAAAGATCGAAAACACTGTAGTCAAAAAGCATCCTACTTCAAAGGCTTTCTACTGAAGGCTAACACATGTTGACTTAAGCAGTACCTACCTGTGAAGTGTACTCATAAGGATCCTTCTCTTCTCCTGGCAGTTTTTCAGGAGTCTTTGGATCTTCTGTTACAGCAGGTATCTCATCTCTTTCAGTAGTATGAGAGGTAGCAACTGTCTCTGTAGCAGTTGGGGATCTTTTTCTCTTCTTGATGAGTTGTGCATGGTCATCACTTGATTCGCCTTCTCTTTGTCCTTGTTTTCCAGTCTCATCTGGACCCAGCTGCCCAGGCATCTGTTCTCCCTCCTCACTACTTCTCCAGTACTCCAGGGTGTCTGCATTAGATGACACAGACTGGGACTTTGTGAGAGGGTGAACTGGCTCTTCCCTCTCTTTAGACTTGCTGTCAGGAGACTGTTCCCTGGCTGCTGACTGACAGGAATCCTTTATCTCCTCAGGTGGCTCTGTCTGTGCTTCAGCCTTAACTTCAGGTTTCTCCATCTTCTCTGGGGTTATTCCACATGTGTGCTGTTCCTGAGGAACTTCCATCACATCTGCCTGGCTAATCTTTGACTCCTCTTCAGAGTCGGATAACTGAACTGGCCTCCTCTTGCGGCCTTTCCCCTTCTTTCCCGTCTTCCTGCTGCTTACAGGAGGACCAAACAAGTCTTCACTATGGAGAAATATATCAAGAAACATCAACAATACACATGCTACAGAATATAGTCTAATCGCATACAGTACAATCACTCTTACAGTGAACACCACAAAAATGTATCTATAAATGGAGCTAATTTTGTCTAAAAGACATTATCTGTTACCTGTCCGCTGGCTGAGGTGCATCATCTTCCTCAGAGCTGCTGTCCTGTTCCTCCTGCTGAGGCCGGACCTTTTCTCTCACCCTGGTGAAGAGGGAGGGGAGTTTGCTGGGACTCTCCTTGATGGCCTTCAGCCGGTCAGCATCCAGCTCTGGGGGTTCTGGAAAGGGCCACAACATTAAAATATAGAACACTAGTACTGACATAGCCATTTGTCTACCAATTCTCTTTTTTCTATCAATTACAGGGTTAGGCTATAGGAAGAAGGATAATATGTAGCCTTTGATAGCTTAAAATTAGGCTACATACTTGCATACAAAATTCCAACGTTTTCCATAGAGAAAGATCATGTTCAGCTGTTTTGTTAGATTATGCAATATGCAAAAAAAAAGTTTCCATTAAATGGCTTGTCTAAAAACTCACTTTGTAGCTGAAAGAGAGGTTGCTGGTTGTCCTCCTGTGTATGATCTGACTGGCTCTCCAGTACAGCTCCCATCCTCATCTGTAGTGGAGGCCCTGCCCCAGGCTGCCCACCCCTATTGGCGGGAGTGGTTGGTCCCTGCCCCCCACTGGAACCTGGGTCAGCAAAGGCACTACCATTCCCTTCAGGGGTGGTGACAGCACTAGTGACTGCACTAGTTGGTGTGGTGTCCGTGGGAGACTCTGTGTAGTCAGGCAGGGGAGTGCTGTGTCTGGGCAGGCGGGGGCGCTTGGCTTTCATGAGGGGAGGGGTGGTGGCAATCGGTCGGAACAGCCCTCCATCTTTGGGGAGTGCAAGGTGGAAGGGAACTAGAGGGCAGAAAACAATGCAGAAACATTTAGTCTTCTTAACGAACGAAGCAGTTAAGATGGAAAGAAAGAAGTTGTGTTGCCTATAATATGTACGCATTATGTTAATATTTTGGTATCATTCTCTCATTTGAGATAATAAATGTTCTGTCCCAATACCTGAAGACTCTGAGTTGTTGGCCTGTGCTGAAGGTGTTGCCCTGTTGTCTCCTAGTGGCTCCTCTTTTTCAGTATCACAAAGAACAACTTCTATGCAGGAATCTTCTTTGGATGTTTTACTGTGGCCAGCACTGAGAGCAGCCTCTCCTTTGCCATCTACATCACAAGGGAACAACATAAACATCATCTATTGGCAAGACTTGATTCATTTTAGTTCTTTCCTGTCTTTCTACTCATGTATCCTGCATAGCTTCTACCAACCATCTCTGTATTGACTCTTTAAAGAGACAGAGACTTTATAAAAATTTAAAAAAATATTGAGGAGAAAAAATATTGGTCAAAAGGTCCTACCTTCTTCTGCAACTGAAATGTCAGCTTCCTCCTCAACACCCGAACCCTTGTCTGCTTCTTCACCTTTTTGGGAACTGGTGTCTGTGACAGCTACATGTTCCACTTCTTCACTGGAATGTTCTGTAGGAGCTGGTCCCTTCGGCTGGTTGGTAGCTTGAGGTAGGAAGAGCAGCTGGCTTGGTGCTAACTCTAGCTCTGTGGACTGGTCTAAGTCCCCACTCATTTCCCTCAACCGACTTTGCAAGTTTTGGGACTGGGAACCATCCAAGGATGGGGTAAAATGAAGTGCCCAATTGTCCTGTACATCAGAGCCTTCTTCTTGTTCATCAGTGTTATCTTCCCTCTGCAAAGACCTGTCACCACCCTCTTTCAGGGCGATGTCCTCTGTCACATCTTGCTTCTCATTGTCATCAGACTTTCTGATTTCCTCTTTTTCTTGGCTCCCATCTTCTCCGATCATTTCAACCTGGCTATATGATGTCTGCAGATCATCTTTGCTGGTGCTTGCCATGTTCCAAAGTGAAACATGTTTCTTCTGAACACTGTTGCCTTCAGCTTTTCCTAATGATTGCACCCTGACAGTCACACTTTCCGGTTTCTTCTCTATTGGCACATCCTCTGTCATTTCCACCGACACTCCGATCACTCCACTCCCTTGGCTCATCTCCAGTAGCTGCTCAATGGCAGCTTCCAGGGAACGATTTTGCGCCTTGTAAACACTGCTTAGAATGTCCTCATCCAGACTAGGAAACATTCCTTTCAAGAAGTCTAGAGCTTGTTTTAACTCCTGCCGTTCACTCCTCCTGCCTGTCTGACTACTCCCAGAGGAGGAGGAACTTTCAGTCTCATTGCTCTTTAGTCCTTCTGGTTTGGTTTGTTCTGTAGGTAAAGCTGAATCAGCTTTGTTGTTCGCTCCCTGTAATGTGCTTTCATCAGGACCTGATGTAAGTTGTGTATCAGAAAGCTGCAGGTGTAGGGAGGGAGGTCGGCTGGCTGAGTCCTTAGTCATCTCAGCAGACTTCACACTTTGGTCTTCATCTGGACCTGATGCAAGCAGATCCTGGAAGAAAATTCAACAAGGTGATAATACTTATTATATAATAATATACAATCTGGCATTAATCTGGCAAACTGAAGGACATCATCAGAGACAGTGTGTAAAAATCTTGAATATGATAAATAGAAGAAAATGTTACCTGGGACCACTGTGGTTCACTTGGCTGCCATGGATGATCTACAAGTTCTTGCACAGACTGGGCAGTCTGTGACGATGCTGGTGATGACGGAACAGGAGGGTCTTCTGCAACTTCCACAGGGTGATCTATATAACAATAGATCAATATTGAAGATCACAAAAGTTGGTAAGCTTGACCAGATGGTAATGATGAAGCCAGATCTCAACAGCAAGTTTATCAAATTGGCATGCATGTTTACCTTGTTCCTGTGTGTCCTGTGTAGGTGAGGATGGGATGATGTGTGGGGTGTGGCCGTACGCCTCTGGTGAGGGGGAGATGACATTCTCAGAACCTCTGGAATATGGAGGGAATTTGTGTCCAGGTGAATCTTGTAACATGTGACAACAGGTTGAAATTGTTGAACAGAATCAAAATCAGTTACTAGTATTCTATGTTTGTACGTTTGATGGTTATGCATATGTTGATGGCAGTTTTGACCTGTATGATATTACCAAAGTGCTGCATTTTCTCTCTAAAGAAATTAATAAAAAGGGCAATAAAATATGATGACGTCAACCATATGGTCTCTAAATTCGTAAGTAGTAACATCTTACCATAGGCTATCAATATTCATTGCAACCATAACTCTTTCAAGAAATTTTAATGGTAAAACAGAGGAAACTTAAAATCACCAAAATAGCGTTCTGAATAACCTTAACAATTTGTATATCATCTACAAATCATGATAGTTCTGTTGTTTGTCTCATGATTCTACCATGTCAAGTAATTGGTTCCTACAAAAATGTGCAGTCATGTTCCTACCCCTCTGATGACAGACTGGTGTCCTGCACTAACATGGGTTCTCCTGACAGCTGCAGACAGCCCAGGTTTTCAGCTGGGGTGGATAGGGCATGCTCATCTTGGGGTCCTGAAAGCAAAAAGCAAATGGGCAAAACAGTAATAGGTATTTTAATAGTACATTTCATGGATGGATTGACGTTGATTGAGAGCTCACATGAGCTGCACTGAACTTAACTTTGGTGTAAATTATGAGCAAGTACTACAGGAACTGCAGGAGTACATATGCTGATGTGGGATATTATGGTAATGATATCGACAATGAAGCATCAATCCGATGAACAGTAGTTATACTCAGGGGTCAGCCCACCACACATTAGTCATGTCCATGTTGTATACGATGAACAGATGTCCTCCCAGTCTAGAACAGGTATCATGAGCAAAAGAAGGAGTATAATAGTGACTTACTCTGGATTTCTTCTAAAAACATATCCTGTTGTGAAGACAGTGGGTTAGGCGAGTCTGGCCTTCCTGTGGGCTGTGAGTCAGGTATACTCAAGGGCTGTTCCTCCATGGCAGTGTGTACCTCCATACGCAGCTCCCCTGACGTGTGCTCGTGGATCTTATTACTTGCCCCACTGCTACCTGACCCTCCTCCCTCTGGCTTTGTATTCTCTTCCTCTGGCGGTTTTGCCTCTGCATCCTAGGATATAACAAGCCATCATGTTGAGAAAATACTTCTCCAGACAATGGAAAATATAAAGAATCAAAGTATGGCTAATACTAATATATAGTTGTGTAGCAAAACATGCAATATAACAATCATACTGTCTTTTCTCCTTTGGATAAACATTACAAGAACTTTTGTCATCCACCAAGCCATACCATTACCAAAAAATTCACATCTTACCCTTGCTGCAGAAAGCTCCTCCTCACCAAGACGTCTTCTTGCCTTCATTTGGGACTCTTTTGTTTGGCCGGCCTTCCTGGGAAACTTGTGAGGAGACTTCTTTGGGGACTTCGTTATCAAGGGAGACATCTTAATCGTAGATTCAGACTTTCTTGGAGATTTTCTGGGCGACTTTTTTAATGGAGTTTCTATGTGGCTGCTGGACCCACTGGAGCTGCTAGTGAATGAGCTGACTGTGCTGATGGTTGAGGACTGTAGCTGGACACTGCCACTGGAGCTGCTGCCACTCAGCTTACTACTGCCACTCAGCTTGCTGGTACCTGTAAAAAGACAGAACAGTCCTTGAGACAATGTTATGACTTGAAGATGGCAAATCAAATTGTGTGTTCAGTACAAAATGCTATGATACACTAAATTAAATGGCTAAGTGCAAGCTTGCTTGTCTATTAGGAAAAAAAGTTTGATGCAAGGGTAGGCAGAAGGATAGACAAGGGTTTTTAACATCCATCTGACACTGGCAGCACCATTACACAGTTGACATGGAATATCACATATAGAACAATAGCAGAGTTTCCTACCAGGGCTAGTTAGATGAGGCACACTCCTACGAGCAGGAGACATTTCTGAGTCAGTCACAAGGGCTGTAGATGCTTCACTAAGTCCACCCAGCCCTTCACTCTCTGATCCTGTGTCTACTTCACGTCGTCCCTCTATGGGACAATGACACAAAACAAATTAAGCAACTTAAGCACACAGAAGTAATCGCTTGGTTACCCATGCTCTATAGGTTATGGGGTTAGACAGCAGGGAGAAGGCTAAAGGCTATACTATGACATTAAAGCCAGCCACACAAATACGATCTTACAATTTAGCTAGAGTACAGGACAGAGAAATAAACAGTAAAGACAAGTAAGAGTCACCTGTTTCTGACAGAGCTGACATCTCCCCCTCACTCTGCTGTATCTCGTGCACAGGGATGACTTTTATAGGTGTGACTGTGCTGGGGAGGGGCCGGACTAGTCCAGGTAAGGAGCTCCTACTGGAAGGTAACAAACAGTCCAGTAGGTACACCTTGTGTACACATTAATACCCAAATCTTATCAGAGAACAGAAGTGTCACAGTCTCACAAGAACAGATAATAGTGAATTTACCTCATGGTTTGATCTACTTTGCTCCTTTGGAAAGAGGCATGTAGAGATGACAAGGAACAGTTACAGCCATGGTTTGTGATACAGTGAGAAAGGTACAAAAAAAAGGTCAGCAATTAGTTCCAACAATTCTTTATTCATTTGATATTTGATGTTTATCCAGGGTTGCCCAGTGTGACCACTAGTTTACAGTGAGGACCTAAAGTTATACTCCTTTTCCATCCCACTCTTTGTTCCCTTTACCTGCCACTGCTATTTCCACTGCTCTGCGGAGTGGAGGTCGATGTGTCTGCCTCCTCCTCATGATGGCTATCATCACCTCCTTCCTCTTCATCGTTATCGTTATCATCATCATTACCACCTCCATCACCTACAGGGTAACAGACATGGAACCATGAACAAAGGACATGGAACCACATTACCACAATAGTACACTTTTCTTCAGCATGACTACAATAGTTTATCAACTGGTTGCAGCTGTTCTCTTTGGCCACTCACATAAAGCTCTCTTACTTTTAGAATGGATTGGTAGTCCACATACATGTACATGTAGTAGAAAATAGATTGGCTCACAGTTGCACCAGTCTGGTTTCAGGTTAGAGAGCTCTGTCAAAAAAGGATGAATAAATAATGAAATGAATTTCTTACCTCCCCCACCGGCACCCCCGCCTCCTCCTCCACCTGGCTCTGCCCCTCCATTCCCATCATCCTCTGCTCCTCCACCTTGGCTACCTGATCCCGAGGCCCCGGCACTTTGAGGACCTGATGAAGAAATATTGAGATATAAAATGATTGAAAATTCTGTTGTGAGGGCTGCAAAAAAATACCTGCAGTAAAACTGGCCAGGCCATATGGAACACTTGGGCATAAACAAAGCAGATACCTGTAACAAGTAAGCATAACATTACTGTATCATTTCAATTGCAGTGTAAATATGAGAACTTATCATTAGCAACTTCTTGGAGCTTTGCAAAATCTTTTAATGGAAGTTGTTAGATATGTTTATTGCTGATAAAATGACATCAGACATTATTTTGCTAAACCTATGACCGACGACACAGATAAACACAGAATTTCAGATCTCTCGACCATACACAAAAACTGACCTGATGGTCCAGGATGCTGGCTACCTCCTGGTTGGCCTGGTGCACCTGTTGCCATGGTGATGTGGCATTTGTGTCCATTTGCCATCATCTCTACTTCCTGCATGTCACATGTTGGAGATCAAAGTGACATGAGATTGAGAAAGAACACTTGTCATCAGCTACATTACTTGATGTCATTAGATAGCAAATAAGCAATCGTTGAAAGTGTGTATAATTTCTGGCATCTAGTTAGCTTTACAATAGTACTTGTACATTTGACTGACCATGATAGGACTGGTACTGCTGTCCCTCAGAGCTGATAACTTCGCTAACATCTTGTGTCTGAAGATGACGTCCTCCCCATCACTGTTACAGTAGTCTCCTTCCGCCTTGGTCTCCAGCTGGGAGTTCTCCACCATGAAGCACGGCGTCTCATCGCTCTGACTCAAGTCTGGCTGACTAAAGTCCATGTTCATGTACACTACGGGAAGTGTTGAAAGAAACATAATTCATAGATGGCATTTAAAAACTCATTGACTTTTTATTACGTACATACCGCAATCAGCATCTATCCGAAGTCCGAAACTAAACTGTACGATCGATAGATCGCTGTTTTTGTTCCAAACAAAATCGACATACCGTGACGATAATATGTAATACCTTCATAATTTGGCCAATGCAAACGTCTAGCATGTCCACGTCCACCGGTTCAAGAGGTCTGTTGTTTTGACGCGTGGTAGGACGCAGGTAAAAGAATTAAATGATCGCGACTCAAACAACAAGGCTTCCCGCCAAAACAAGCCTGGGCATGTCGGAAAGTTCAAAGGTCATTGGTTGTTGCTACTTCCGGGGTCCGAAAATCATTACATTCCAATATACCATTGATAAACATCATTACGCTTGTGTGAAAATCATCAAAATTTTAGGAAATGTACTATTAATGTAGTCATTATCTTATAAAAATCAATCCTCGACTTGTAATTAGTGACCTTTGACACACAGTGGCACGTGTAAATCTCGCGAGACTATGTTGGAGTGCGCGAGACTTCCGTCGTCCTTTTTCGGCCACCGTCTCATGCGAGGCGGAGAAGCTTCACCATGAAGGTAAGTTATCTTTAAGTTTTCTGTGTTAAAATGGGATCGACCTTAAAACTAACAACATGTTTTGACTGTATGGCATCTTAAGTTTTGATAGAATATAGTTTTGTGAAGTATCGCAATCCAAAAGTGATAGGATGAGGTGGATTGTGTGGAGTCGTTGGTTCTGTGTTGCGATATCGTCCTCAGATGACTGCCATAGTGTGTGTTGGACTTGGCACTGTTTGGCAGGTATTTTGTCGTTCTCGCACCGAAGAATGGAAATGTATCACTTACTGGAACTTTTTTTAGAGGTACAATGTACATGTTGATCGTTACGTGATATTTTACTTTGTTTTGAACCTTTTAACAGTGATATGATTATTTTGCAATAAAGGTGTGGGAGGGGGGTGGGATGTTGAGGCTGACCATATTTTATTCTTGTGTACATGTCATTAGGTGAGGTGTTTAAATTATGTATGTCTCTTGTAATTATGAAACTTCTCAATGAAACTGTCTCATTTGACCGTGCCGCATGCCGGGGTCTGATTATCTTTGCCATTTTGCTCTCCAGATCAACATTTCGTTCCCGGCCACGGGCTGCCAGAAGCTCATTGAGGTGGATGATGAGCGCAAACTTCGTCCTTTCTACGAGAAGCGCATGTCTCATCAGATGACAGCTGAAAGCCTTGGAGATGAATGGAAGGTGCGGTCATACACTGTAGCATCTGTCATATTTTGTTTGCTTGCATAATACATACTGTAGTGTCTCATCATGATCTTGATAACGTTTTATTGAACAGTAATTCTTTGCAAAGATGGCATGTTATAAGTAACGTTAAACATTCAAGTTGTTCTAATCTGTTTCATTTTAAGTGATTAATGAAGAACAATTTAATTTGCAGGGTTATCTCGTGAGGATCAGTGGTGGAAACGACAAGCAGGGCTTCCCCATGAAGCAGGGTGTTCTGACCAACGGCCGTGTGCGTCTGCTGCTGGCGAAGGGCCACTCCTGCTATCGCCCCCGCCGTACGGGAGAGCGCAAACGCAAGTCTGTCCGGGGCTGCATCGTGGATAGCAATCTGTCGGTGCTCAACCTTGTCATCCTCAAGAAGGGTGAGACAGTTCTGCACAGTGTTGTCAATTAGTTTGAAAGTTTGTGATATTCAAATAATATTAACATGAGTTAAGATGTCCATGTAGCAGCCACAGCTAACCTACAGTAATTTGAGTAAACCAGTCATATAATTATGTGTGAACTGTACAAAATTTGAAAACAGTTTGGGGAGACTTGAGAAATACCTGAACTGTTTCAAATCCTGTTTTTGTAAGAATTCTTCACAAAATCATAAGATGGAAAGTCTTCTCAACATCTTCTGTTCCATCCTACTGCTGCACAGTCTTGAATTACCAGTTCAAATTTTGTGCCAAAGGGAGAATTTTGAATTGCAGGAATTGTAGATGAAGTTATAGAGGAAAGTGTGCCTTGCAAGGTCTGTAGGTGTTTGTAAGATTCTTCTCATCATCTATTACAGGTGAGCAGGACATTCCGGGACTGACTGATACCACCATCCCTCGCCGCTTGGGTCCCAAGCGTGCTGGCAGGATCCGTAAGCTCTTCAATCTCAGCAAGGAAGACGATGTACGTCAGTACGTGGTCAGGCGTCCCTTGCCACTCAAGGAAGGTCAGTCTCTGTCATGTTTGTTAAGAAGTTAGGGTAGCAGTTTGGAAAAATCTTAGTTTTGTTTTATCCTACCCCCAGCTGCATAACTTGGTAATCAATACAATTTTGGTGCCTAAATGGCTACTTCAGTAGAGATGTTAAGTACTACGAAGTAGAGATGTTCAGTACTAGTAAGCAGCTTCACAGCTTATAACCTGTAGAGTGACAGTAAAGACTTCTGCTTATAAGAGAGGATATTTTCTGTTAAGAGTAATATTGCTGAATTGTCGTGTTAAATTGAATGTAATGATTATTTGCAATATTGTAATTGTGGTTATCTAAACATAGGTAGTGTATTAGATAATTGATTGGAGCATGTTGAGATTTAGTGGTATCCTTACACATTTCTCTTAGGTAAGAAGCAGAAGTACAAGTCTCCAAAGATCCAGCGACTGATCACCCCTCAACGCCTTCAGCGTAAGAGACACATGAGGGCAGTGAAGCGCAGACGTTATGCCAAGGTAAATCTTTGTGATCCCGATTCCTGTTTTAGACATAGAGCATTGATTGTAGGTCTACGCAAATGTTTCTTCTAAGTTTACTATGCAGGAAGCGTTATACATATATGAGGACAGGTATTTGATTTAGAACAGGTATGTCCAAGTTTATAATTGTGTATTTTTTCCTCACTTAGCAACGTGAGGAGGAGGCCACCTATGCCAAGCTCCTGGCCAAGAGAAAGAAGGAGGAGCGTGAAGCACACGCCAAGCGCCGCTCGTCAGCACGCGAGTCGTCCCTCCGGGAGTCCAAGTCCAAGGCCTAGGTGTGCAAAACAATATATAGTTCCCTCTAATGGGAGAACAATAAACTTGAAAAGACGTCTTAAAACCTTGGAGTTTTGTGTGTTTACTTGGTACTTTTGCCTATACACTTGGCAATATTGTTCTAACACTGCTCTGTGATGAGGAGTTTTGGTTCCACAGATAGCTGCAAGAAATTTAGGATGACTGACAAAACAATGAATGAATAAGCCATGGTTTATGTTACACATAGTTACAAAAGCCTTTGAGAAACAAATAGTTTGTGTCGTGGTCAGAACGTAGTGAATTTGTTTTGCGGCTGGCATTTCTATAGAGTAATCAATGTAACAGAGCAACAAGCTGGCTTATGGAAAAGAAAGGCATTTTATTGACTTTCCTTGGTTTCAACAGGTCAAGTTCATAAGCTGCATGGCAAAGTTCATCTAAGCATAAGAAAATAACCACTGATCTCAGATAATGCCCAGCCTCAACAAGAAATACTGTATCGATAGCAGACTTGTATATTTTAACCAATGCTTCAGCTCAGGCATGTTTTTCTCCTTTCTTAGTTCACAGATTTGGTCAGTAGACTAGGGCCTCTCTCACACTAATCTGGGTTGATTTCCAGACTTCCACCCTTTCTTTACTAAAAAAAAACACTAAGTTGTTAAGGTAAAGGTTAGGCCAGTAAACATGGGGGAATGTAAACATGTTGGATGATTTTGACATTTACATTTTTATCCTATATATTATGGGATTTCTATATATTATTTCTGTGTTCCTGCGAAATGTCAAATCCTTGTTGTACAGATTGACATTCAAAATATCAAGTCTTCCCAGACAATTCCTTTTGGCCCTGCCCCTACTGTAGATCACGGAGCAGTTTATGCCCTCTTTAGATTGTAGTGTTTGACAGCAGATTCTGGAATGGTCTTTTGATTGAGAACTATTTTATTACAAGTCTAACTTAGGAGACAAAAAATTAGTTTAGTACAAGACATGATATACATGTACCACCTCAAGTACGAAATAATGCTTTTTTTCAGCATTACAAATACATGTACGACTCTCAAATTGTGGCAGTAGGAATTAGATAAATATCCAGCCAACAAGAAAACCCTTGTCTTATTTGTGATTTGTAGCTCACAAACTCGTCAAAGTCATGTTGTAATGTTTGGCAGTTTGTTTTGATCAGAGACTAGGAAAATCAACCTTGATGCTATACTTTCTATGTAAATGTATAGACAAGCTAGCAAAGATTTAGGTTTTGCCAAAATGATACAGTAGACATGAAAAAAATGTGAAGTAAGGGCATTTTGCTGCATATTAGCCTCCAGTTGTGCAAAGAACAGTTTGTCCGTGAAGCACTGAACAGCAAAGGTCCTGAACAAATCTGCATCAGGAGATCTGGTGCCATGCATAGTACAATGTGATGACATTGGTACAGAATACACTTCCATCGACATTATATACAATCACTGGTAGATATCTATATCGCTATGCCTCTGCACAGAAAGCCACTTTGGTTACTGGTAATAAGAACAACGAACATAGTAAATTGAAAAACACAAGTTCTACACAACAGACATAAAATTTGAAACACATAACCCAGAAGATGAAACCTGCTGAAAACTTCAATACATTACCAATAGTCATTACACAGCCTTTCAACAGTATATACAATATTTGCACTGGCCTCTTCAGCCACAAAAAGACAATAGCTCTTATTCCAGTCGTTACCACAAACCTGAGTATTGTAAAGCACGACAAAGCTGCAAACAGGTATGCAATGGTCAGAAGTGGCAAAACTTATCAATTTGGTATGGTCATTTGAATAGAGATACAAAGGTTCAATGGCCTCTGCAAAGAAGGTACACAATGTGTATCTGACATTAACTCATCATATTTCCCATGTTTGTACCACTTATGCCTTGAATACAAAACTTGTTTTACTGCAGTACCAAGTACATGTTTTACAAGGCAAACAAATGTACCTACTGGCATGTTGGAAAAGATGCAGGTAAAACCTCTTTTTTCATATCACAGAGAGGAAAATCTGTGTGATCAGGCTAATCCTAGTTCAATTCAGAGCTACTTTTCAAAAGGACCTGTACATCTGAATATCTCATCTTAATCATTGTACATCTACTTGTTCTCCTGGAACTTGTGAAATATGAAAACTAACAGTTATGTACCAGACGTACTGACTTAAACCAAGGGCGAGATGTACCCCTCAACTGAACATCTCCCCTTCCTCAACTTTACAAGGTAATATATACAACTTCGTCATCTGACAGTGTGATATCCCACATTCGTGTGGTCAGCAACATTTCCCAACTGTCCAGGCCTCACCACAGATCAGTGTTACAGGAGTTAAAAGTCAAATGCTGTACACTGCAATGAGGAATAGCTTGTCATTACACAAATACTGTACAGAAATGCACAGTACTTCCTCTGACACGTACAATTCACAAGGTTGCAACCAACAATGTAACTTTTTTTAGTCTTTTTTCAACAAAAATATTAGAAGCCCTATTAAGTTAACCACCCACACAGTGAAAGATTTTCACTCCAAGCTTAACACAATTGTAAATGTAACATTAAGAAGTATCCCTAAATCATAAGAAGTAAATGTAGTTACTTCACTTGTGATGTTAATGGGAAGTCTAGCTGCATAGCAATTTTGCTGGTACATTCACAGTGCATGAGGAAAATTGTGACAGTTTTGGTCCTAACCAAACAACTGGTCATGAATAAGGAAATGCTTGTATTGAAATGCACATCGCATGACTACAACAGCAGATAATGCCATACATGTTCTCAGAAGCTCTCTCATGAATACAAGATACACAATGATCATCTTTCCAAGGACATCCCTGCACCATAGTTATGTCAAATGGGTTTGGATACCTTCAGGTGCCGTCTGTTGGAATAATCTCACACATACTAAAGGTATATCGTATGGTGTGTGTTTCAGTCCGGACTAGAAGTCATCTTTTTGGCATACATGTCATGACTGCAATCTCCATGCAATTACATTAGAAGCAAAAAAGTAGAGGAATATCTATTTGTAAGAAATGGCTAAGACTGCTAACGAACCCTAGGCTTCCTTTTCTTCATCTGTTGGAATTTTCCTGGAATATTACCACTTGGTAATAAGCCAAAGGCTCTGGGCTACTCTTAGTAGTGCACGCAGTGGTTTGGTGTGCACACAACTCTCCTAAGTAGCGAACAGGAGCTGTTTGACCCTGGGGTGAAGCGCCCGCAGGATCTTGCCTCTGCTGCTGAGGACCCCCATACTGCACTGCTGAGAAGAGTTGCTAGGTGGCATCAGGGAGAATTAAGGCAACTTCTTGTGTCCAATTCCAGAGAAATTCATATGCGGATGTGGAAAGTGCTGTAGAGAAAAAGATTTATTTATTTATTTATCTTACGAAAAAATGGGTGGTCCCTTCAGCCGTTGAGGCTAATTTCCAAGGGAGCCCATGGAATACAAGAAAATAATGTAACAGAAATTCGAAAATCATAAATCAAAAATACAAGATCAGAGGTGAGATTGTCAGAGGTCAAAGATGATTCAATCCCATTGACATTCGTACCTAAACAGCCAATACAGTATAGAATATAAGTTTGTCAACTGAATGCTATTTGCAGCATGACAATGGAAAAATTATCACTAAATTTTCCCAATGATTTGACTTACTTGAGGAAGTCAGGTGCTCGTGATATCACATGTTCAAACTCCATATACGACAGCTGGCTGTCGTCATCAAGGTCTGCCTCCTCTAAAATCTGATGAAAGACACAACAATTAACCTTGATTGGGTGTACCGTCTGCAGTTACATGTTAACAGCCTACAGTAAGTGTACAATCATACCATAAACAGACTAAATTTCTGTCACCACTGCTACCATTCTTATCCTC